CAACAACAACAACAACAACAACAACAACAACAACAACAACAACAACAGCAACAACAACAACAGCAGCAGCAAATGCAGCAGCAACAGCAGCATCAGCAGCAACAACAACAACAGCAACAGATGCAGCAGCAACAGCAACAGCAGCATCAACAGCAAACCCACCAACATCATCAGATGCAATCGCAACACCTTAATTCTAACAATGGATCCGCTTCAGAGTATGCATCGGATGATCAAATACGTGATACGCATGAAAGCACCGAAAAGATGCAAGAAAAACGCACGGATCATTTTATAAACCAGTCAAATATTATTTCGATGACGCAATCTAATGAAAACTTGACCGGTAATTTTTTATCGCATAGCCACCACCCTCGGGTAGATAATTTGCCCGATGGTGGTGGCTTGTGGGAATGGACGGAAGGAGAACACACTCACAATAATGACGACATTGATAATAAAAATGACGATAATTCCGCATTGCCGGAAAATGGAATGACAAGTTTCGAAAATTTTATGAAGCTCGCTGCAGAAAATAAGAGTCAATCATGCAACAAAGACAAAGAGCAACATTCCTGGGAGGCAGAAGAAAGAAGCAATGAAGATCAAGAGATCGACGACAAGTCTTTCCAACAAAGATTATGCATGAATCAAATTGAGAACACATCTTTCGAGGGATCCCAGAAGATATCCGAAAGTGAATCCGGAATGAAAAACGATAATCTAAATTTTCTAAAGTCGACAGATGCTGCCGATCATGTATCATCCCAAGGTAAATGTGATTCTGATCGTGTGATTAAACAGGAGAACGCCGAAGATCATATTTATTCCTACGTATCTCATGATACGTCCAACATCGTCGAGAATGAAGAGAATGAACAGAATCGAGAGATTGCTGGAGATTATAAGTTTCGCGGCGACGGTGGACCCGCAAAGGTATCACCGGGAACCGGTTCGTGGTGCTGTCGAAGAGGTGGGACTGAACAACCGACTCCCGAACATCTAAGAGACGGCTGTTGTCAGGGTCTTCAAACCAAGGATGAAATATTGGACGATTCTTCGGAGAAAGCTGAGTTAAAGAACGAGGGACCGCACAGTCCGCATACTCCAACTACGACGACTGTGACGACAAAATTGCAAGACCACTTGGACAAACTGAAGAACAATGTCAGGACCGAAGTGCCGGACTGCAACTGCTTCCCCGCCGATAAATGTGAGTTACAATTACGTATCCCGTATTACACTAACATTGAGAAAACACTAACCATGAAGAAGCACACGGAAAAAAGTTATAAACGTACTACGTACATTTTATTGGCAATATAAACTACACCGACCGGTTATACGGTTATACGGTCCGAAAATCCGGAGAAGAATGTGCACACCTAATGTAGTAACCCTTATTCGCAAGGACAAATCTACTACGTGCACAGCATAAATGTTTCCGCTTCTGTTGCTTCCTTTCGTTTACGTGTCAGTCGTTCGTAAATAAAATGTGGTTCAACCACAAGGTCCGCCAGAGCCCGGTTCGTACTACACTCACCTCGGGGCAGCTGCAAGCCTGCCTGATCTTCGGAACGATCTCGAACGAAGAACCGGCCTTAAGGGCGACGCGATAAGATTTGAAAAGGTCGTCTATACCGGAAAGGAGGGCAAAACCACGCAAGGATGTCCAATGGCTAAGTGGGTAAGTCATTTTTCTCCAAAACAGTCGTGCAGCTAGCAACGGTTAAAGATATAATGTTAAAAAAGAAATGCATTGTATCAGCAACATTAATTTTTTTTATGCGAAAACCCGAAATTCTAATGTAAATAATTTGGTAGATCATCCGACGATCCGGCATTGATGAGAAGATCTTAACCGTGGTGAAACATCGCCAAGGTCACAAGTGTCCCACCGCTTGGATCGTTGTAGCTATGGTTGCCTGGGAAGGGGTGCCGACTCACGAAGCAGATCGTATCTATACTCTCTTAAGTCACAAACTCAATCGATTTGGTCTTCCAACCACTAGACGATGCGGTACCAACGAACCGCGAACTTGTGCATGCCAAGGACTCGATCCTGACACATGCGGCGCCAGCTTCTCCTTCGGCTGCTCGTGGTCGATGTACTATAACGGCTGCAAATATGCCAGAAGTAAAACCGTCCGAAAGTTTCGACTGTCCGTACGATCGGAGGTAATTATCTTGAAAGCAATCCAAACGATTAGGAAATCGGTTACAGAATAATGAATAACGAAAGAACTTGTTTCGCAGGAACAAGAAGTCGAAGAGAGAATGCATGTTCTAGCGACGCTTTTATCACCTTTGTACCTTAGTCTTGCACCAGAGGCTTTTAATAATCAAACACAATTCGAGCGGGAAGCGAGCGAGTGTCGTTTAGGATTTAAACCAGGTCGGCCCTTTTCCGGTGTTACGGCTTGCATTGATTTCTGCGCACACGCCCATCGGGATCTACACAACATGAATAACGGATGCACCGTGGTACGTGAATTCCTCAATTCGACACGTTAATTCGCGATATAACATTATGATACAAATCGTTGTTCCCTCTCACAATGTCTAAAAAAAAATTAAGATTTATTATTTTATAAATATTACAACATTTTTAGCTTATAACATCAGCATTGTTACGTTTTTTTTCAGGTAGTTACCCTGACAAAACATCGAACATTATCGAAACCCGAAGACGAACAGTTACACGTGCTACCTCTTTACATAATGGACGACACAGACGAATTCGGTTCAAAGGAAGGTCAGGAGAAGAAGATTCATTCCGGTGCTCTTGAATTTTTATCCAAGTTAGTACCTTTTAAATATTCGAAAATAATCTATAGAAAAATTATTACATCATGCAATCGCCGATTGCTGTAAGTGTAGACGCGAAAAATTCGGCACACATGTATACATAAAATATATACTTTTTATTTTCCGTTCAGATATCCGTGCGAGGTTCGAGTTAGATCGGTACCTCTTCAACCATGCAGACGTCACGGTAAGAAAAGGAAAGAAGACGAGCCAGATGTTCAGTCTGGCAAGAAGGATACAGTCAAAATTATGGCGGAAAAAATGGTTGATTCTGGACGTTCGCCGGGACACGCAGATCCTTCTAAGCTACAATCACAATTAACACTGGAGATGACGCCCATGTTCGAAGGAATTGACGCGCAGTTGCAGAGCTCTCAGGTATCATCCACGGTCTTAGATAGCCCGGTATCAATGTATCCAGGATGGGGAGCATATCAAGGTGAGCAACAATGGAACCGAAATGGCTGGCTTGAACAGCGTAAAAGTAACTGGCTGAATCCATGGGGAGAATATACTTCGTTTGGTGGTTTAGAGAGGGACATCAAAGTGGACCCAGACAGTACCAGTTTGGATGATATTAGACCCAGGAGTACCGTTTCTCAAGAAGAGCATAGACCAGGGTCAAGGAATTTACCTAATTCTACAGTGGATTCAGCCAGAGGATGTTACGGGAGTTCACCCAGAAATCATCCCGTTTCACCTCGTTCGCACGTAGGCATTTCGGGAGAAGGGTCTTATAATGCATCACCCAGAGGCTGTACCATGACGCCTCAGGATCCAAAAATGATTCCGTTGAAAGGACCGGAACATTCAAACATGGAAAATAATTATGATCATCAAATGACTTCTGGAATGTACGCGGCTTCTGTCAACGGGCAAATCGACTGTTCTTCCTCAAAGATCGGCTCCCTCAATCCATCGCTCAGCATGGAGACCACGCATCGAAATATTCCACCCAAGATGAATCAGTCGCCAATTCATGTACGCAACATGGGACAAGATTGCGTTGCCAATCAATTAAAGCTGTCGTCTTCTAAATATACGGGAGATTTTATTCCACAGAGATATTCGAATACCATGACACAAAATTACACAGATGCTGAAAACCCTGCGAAATCGCCATTGCTGAGGCCACAAGTTGAACAAACGTTTGCAAATAGAATGCAGCATCTCTCTTCATCCAAACCGATACAAGCGTCCGTAAATTCTAACTATCATAATCAATATTGCGATGGTAACACGTCAAATTTATTCTCTTACGTGGACAATAGTAATCATAAATCTATGGAGACTCCGAACTCGGATGTTTTGGGACATAATTCGTTGCATTTGCCAGAACAACGAAATGACGCGCAATGTTCGTCGAATGATCAGCGAAAATTCATTTATCATGCGCAAAGACAATCGGAATTGAAGTCCTTCGTAGGCAATCATCCTTCATCCCCGTCTCCCGATCACGTTTCTTGCCCGCAGAATTGGAATACGGCAAATTCGTGGTGTCCTAATCAAGTTAAAAGTCCACAGCAATTCGATCAGATGGGCGACAAGAAAATCTGGGTCGGTAAATTAGCAAGACCGGACCAAACCAAAGCTGCTGCCTGGGAAACGTGTCCTGAACCGTCGCCGTTCCGAGTGCCAAGAGGAAGACCACCCTCGCGAACGATATCCAATCAGAACCCATCTACGGAGCCCAGTGCATATCCAAATCCTTTAGCCAGAACATTTTTAAAACCTCCAGACTCTAAGCCTATTTTCGCGGATGCTCCTAATAACAACACGGTCCAAAACGGTTGTATATCCAATCAATTGAAAGACAGTTGCACGGAGGATAAATTACGAGAAGGATTTTATGATAACAAGCAAGAAGTGTCCAATTCCAATCCAAATGGTCTCGCATGGACCGAAGAAATAAAACAGGATTTTCACACTATGTCCGGTTTGAGTCACCATGCCTTTCCTCAATACGGATACCCGACCTATCCGGTATTCGAGAAACCTTATGCAAACTCATGGGAAGGTTACAACTATAACCATCATCAACAATCATATCAAGCTCCGGAGCAATTCTACCAGCAACCGAAGCGCGAAGGTTGCTTTCACTCGTCTCAATATCCGTATCAGGGCTTGAATCCAGCGTATCAAGGCTTGAATTCCGGCTGGACGAGGTGGGACACGCCACGGTGGGATATTTACGGACCACCACCTTATTTCCCGGTCCTACCAGAGCCTCCTCCGAAAGCGGAGCCTCTCGGCGAAATAACGGATTACTCCGAGAACGAGGAATGCTTCAAGGATCCGCAGATGGGCGGTGTCGCAATCGCCCTGAGCCACGGTAGCGTACTCTTCGAGTGCGCGAAGCACGAGATGCATGCCACCACCGCACTGAAAAAACCCAATCGGCTCAATCCGACCAGGATTAGCTTGGTATTCTATCAACATCGCAATTTAAACAGACCGAAGCATGGTTGGGACGAATGGGAGGAAAAGATGCGACTGCGAAAATTGGGTATCACAACATCAACCAGCGGTACGTCCGTGTCGACGACCAGTCCATCGACTCCAACCACCGCGACAAGCCCCGGCAGTACGATGAACGAGAAAACAACGCCACTTCCATCACTTTCGCACATTCCAAATGTTCCCAGTTCACAGTTCATGATGAGATCCCCTACTTACACCACGATGACTTGGACAACGCTCTTCCCGATGCATCCATGTATGATAACTGGACCGTATCAAGAAGGTGGTGCGATTGGATGAGTCGAAGTCGGACGGTACAGCTTTGATCGTCGATGACCGAAGCTTGTACCGACATATGCCATCGCCAAAAATCGAATCGATTAGAGGATTCAAGAGACAAGATTCTGAAGAAGAATTGCGATCGAGGACGAAACGACAAGGCGGCGACTTTACCATGAGAGGCTTTATATTGTTATTATCGTTATAGTTAGTTATTCCGAAAACGAGAAACACACACTTTGCACTGCCATTTTTCTATTTCGAGTTTTACGCAAGATTTAAACATAGCGACAAAAACGTGCTTGTAGAAAGCCTCGCCGGGTGTGACTGCATCACCCTTTGTCGGGGCTCGCGTTTTATACTGACTTTTTACTGAGTTGAACTCGAAAGAGACTCTCGTAATCGAGCCAGAGGCTGCAAAATCAAGACAATGGTAAATGATCGAGGCTATTGATGTATCAGGAAAGCTCCGATGAAAGCTGCGCCTTGCGAAGACTTTGATACGAAGATTTTCGTATTCTGACCCTGTACACTTTAAGTAATATCGCTATGTATAACGGTTTCGTGTTGGTAGAATTGTAATCTTACTAGCTAGTCGAAGTCTAGATGATGAATCACGCGATATCATACATACACATAAAAGCACACATTGAACGTATACGCACTTTAAGACACCCAAGGAAACTTGCATGACATGATCTCCGAATTATCGCATCTTTCTGAGACTTCATTTAAACAAAAAAGCAAAAAAAAGCTGAACAACCATGCTTTTACGTATGTACGTGAACATCGTATTTCTATACGACGAAAAGATATTTCTAAGTATATCTTTTGGTCTAAATTAAATATGATAAAAGAGGAAGCTTTGAACAAGATATCATTTGTAATATGGCCTGTATTATAATAATATAATATATATTATATATTATTAATATAATAATATATATAACATATATAATATATACGATATATGTATATAATGCAGGCTTGGTTAACTTTGAGATCCGGAGCTCCGGAAAGGGGTTCCTCCGCTAGATGAAGTTGAGCAAGCATAATTAATTTCATCCATGAAAGAGCGGAAGAACTCCTTTCCCCCACTCTCCATGGATAGAAAGAGAGAAGTGTCTTTCGAGCTCGAAGTTGACCAGGCCTGATATTATATACATATATATATATATTTGTATAATATAAGATATATAATATTGTGATATCTCGTAACGTTTTAATTAAATTCAAAACGCTTTCAGATTCAGACAAAGATCAGATTTCTTTCCGAATCTATCGAAGTCGAAAGAAAGGGCCGATAGTTCGAGAGCGCCTTTTATATTCGTTAATTAAACGATTTTTCGCAAAGGTCCAAGCACAATCCTAAAAATCCAGACGACGACACACGACACAATGATCTCAAATCTTTAAATTAATTAAATGATATGTAATGTAATATCTCTGATTTCTAGCCTTTGTACATTTCGCTTCTTATTCTCGTATTTATTTACGTGTTTGTACTCATAGCTAAGTACTAAGTACGATTAATTCAAGTGGCATGCGATATAATACTAACCATGCGCCCTTCGGGTCGGCTGAGTACAAAGCATTTATCTAACAATCACGTGACGTAGGTAGGGGTGTATCTAATGGTCGGCGGTATATGCTGGATACGCCAGGTGTTGTCTTCATCGTCAATCTTTGACGTTCTTCCCTTACCGTTTATTCCACCTCGTTTGATCCCTTTTACTCGAACCGACAATTAGTAGATAGCGCGACTTTATGCTAGCTTGTCGTTTTGCAAAATTCGGCATTATTTAATAAAATTCAATAAATGTACTAGAGGATGGCGGTTCCGCGAATTAATTTTTCATACAGTTTAAGAAATTAATCATTTTTTAATAACGGATGATAACGTTTGCGTCTGACATCTCATCGAGACGAAAGAAAATTAATCGAGAGGGTCAATCAGTTCGATATGTCAGAAAAGGAATTTATCGGTTTTCCGAGATTCGAAGCAATCATTATATTGATATTGAATCGGCAGAAACGAACAGATTCGATCTGTAATTTTATCATTACCTTCTCTATTGTCCTCGACTTTATTTGTACATATTAATCGTCTTTTAGTCTAAGCCTGTTGCGAGCGGCACAAGGCCCGGCAACAGGGTCCTGCTGATGAGCTTTCAAGTTCAGGACCAATCCCGATACGGTCTCTGGCAGTGTGCTGGCTGGCTTTTCGATGGATCAGACGCTTATTGTCATCGTGGACAGCCTCTTGAAGGATCTCGATTCGATAAATTGGTGGCATATCCAGGCTTTTGTTTTCGATCTGAAGTTTTCAGGTCCGGAACACGTCCGGTCCGGACGAGGATTAGTGATGCATTCTCCGTTCTCCCTAGTCCCATTACGCTCACGCGCGTTAAATTGTCAGTGTACATTCTATATCGCCATTGATCGATCCGAATAATATCTTGGCCAGGGTATCACGCCTTCCGTGTTCTTCCATCTCCACGCTTTCCATACTCTCGCGACATTGTCATCCGGAGCTCAGAGGCTTGGGTTTCTCCCAAGGAGACTGGGACTCGTTGTTATTGAGAGCCTGGAGTGCCACTACTTGGAGGCGGTCTAAAAGGGTGTTTTCTTCGCATGGCATTGGGTTAGCTGAGCGCAAGGGATTAATCCTGGAATGTGCTGAGGGTTAATAAGTAGGTCGGTAAAACTTCCCACTGCCCAAGAGAGCAGCTCTCGCTTCCGCGTGATCCATCGTCTGCGTTCAGCGACCACAAAGTTGTTACGTAAGTAAGGTACCCTGTCGCGGAGGTCTGGCCACAGGGAGAGGTGTGCTCGAGGCGAGCTCGAACCTTCAGCAGGATTAGTAGTCGAGAAGGTCTTTAAAACTTATTTATTTATTTTTTTCTCGCTCGACGACGTTCGTCTGCGATTCCTTAAATAAGCGTAGCACGATTTTTAAGGCGCAAAATTTATATATTTAGCTCGTAACGAGGAGTGAATACGAGGGCGGGCTTTTGATTTTTGGCTCGCGTTCACCGAGTCGAGTCCTACCTTTCCTTTTGCATTAGCGCCCGTCATGTCGGTGGAATGAAAAAAGAAAGAAGCAAGACGCGACCAACCCTCGCCTACTGGAGTATTATAGGAATCATTAATATATTATCATTCATTAGTTATCGCATGTAATAGTAATAGTGATAATAATAATAATAATATCGGCAACAGTAATAACTAGTAATATAATCTAATTTAATGTATATTATATATTTATTAATTAAGTTTGAGAACGTGGTGTTGTACCGGTTTTTTTTTTCTATTTTCGGCAAGCTGGCGGCTTGACTCTCGGTTGAGATTGCCCGACTTCCCGGGTCGATCGACGTTTTCCTATTAACACGAAAGAATTCCAATACGCCACGTCGATTTTCGCTCGTATCGCTCGGAACGGCCTCAAAAATTTCAATCGGCGGGGATTAAAAAACAAAACAAAAACCAGTCAATCGAGTGTCCCTTTTTTTATTTTCTTCTTTGTTTCATCGCTCTGTCGTCTCTCGAACGCTTCGTGCAGCTTCATGGTAAAGTCCGCTCGACGGAAGAACGAAAGGGGGCAATTCTCGGTCGAGTAAACGTTCGTTGAGGAAAATCGGGGTCCCCCCCTTGCCCAGATATACGGGAGAGAGAGAATCGCGATAATTCCGTCTCTTATCGAATTCAATCCCCCTCCCGAGAAGGAAAACGAATGAAAAGGAAAGACGCGTATCTCTCTGTTCTCTCTGAGTTCGCCACCACTTGCTTCTCTTTAGAAAACTCGTAGGGATAATTTCCGCAACGAGATGGGATAATTTCAGTCGCGTGGACACTCGTTCCTTTCGCTTACGCACGCATACACCGATCCATTTTCTAGATAAGGGTAGCGAGGACGGTAACGAGAGTACAATGTAGAATAGCATCGGGCCCCCCTGCATGGCTTCTCGTTTTTCTCTTTTTTTTTCTTAACAAGTATATAGCAGGACGCTGTTATCCTCCTCCTCGTATTCCGCAGAAGTGACAATACAATAATAAAGCGTCTCTGGCGACGACTTTCGGGTCCAGCGGGTGTCGCGGAACTCCGGGGGGGCATCGTTCCGCTCTCTCGAAATTTATTTTTCGGAGAAAAAATTATTATTGTTCTTTCAGTCTCTCCCTCGTAAAAATCGAATCCACGGTGATGCGATTTGATCCGTGGATCGATCGACACTTCTTCGAGGGGGGACGACGATGAACCCGCGAGTCCCCGCGACGCCCGGTGCGCGCATAGCGCGCGACCACGAAGGGAAATCAAAATTCCACATTGACACACTTCCGAAAAATTGTATATTTACAATTAGCCACGTAATGCGCCCCGAGACACCATTGTACGATACTTCCAACCGTCTATAAGTACACCGAGGATCGTTATTCTTGCTAAAAGAAAAAAGAAAAAAGAAACTTTTTATAAGGCGAAAACTCGGAAATTTATATCGGTTCGACGATGCCAAAATAGTATTAAATGATTAAGTGAGGCGACTAGGCGAGTTTGTAATAACAATAATCGATGTTCACGGAGAGCGAAAAATAACGAACTGTCCGAAATACAGGGTTGACACGCAACGACGGTGGTCGACGACAATTTCTTATTTGCGGGCGCCATAAATCTGTTAAAATAAAACACCGAATGTTCTCTCCCAGATAGAATGTCTGAATAAAATTAATAAATCGGTAGACGAGATTTTCGCGCGGTTCTTTGTCTCGACGAGTCGTTGCATGGATCCCTGTATAAGGAAGAAAACGAAATCCGAAATCTGTTCAGCAGAGTGATTAATTAAAAGAGGAGGGCGGGGGGGGGGGTTACGATCGGGCAAATTAAGAAAAAGATAAATGTTGAAGAGTGTATTTTTTCTTCCAATGCCAAAAAGATGCCATTTTGTTTTGTACGAAAAAACCAGCGAGAAAATCCTGAAAAAAGAGAGAGAGAGAGAGAGAGAACGAACGTAGCGAGTGAGGAAGAACGAACGAGAGGGAGAAGTGCGAGAGCAAATTTTTTAAATAGTTCGTAGCATGCGTATGGATGTGTAACAATAATGAAGCAAAAGGGAAAAAAAACAGGACAAAGCGAAACGCAAGCAGACAAAAGTCGATGTATATGTCCCGCGAAATCCGACTTTACACGCCTTAATCCCGTCGTCGTTGATGGATCGACGGAGAACCGGCGGAATACCCGGGTATCCGTTTTTTCTTCCCAATCGTGCGAACGCAGATCGGCGAAGTAGGACGCGAGTGGTAGTACCATCCGTTAAATTCAAGGCCGCGTGCCACCAACACCGATTAACATTAACCCGTCCGATACTTTTTTTTCCTTCGATCATGAATATCGCCAAAACGAATAAAAAAACGCGAGAGCAGCATTTGAGAATTAGAAAGGGTCCGATGGTCCACGAAGGCCGGGGTTTGTTAAACCGGTTTGTTGGTGGTCAACACGCGGCCTGAATCCGCGATGATGTGTACGCTCTAAGGACGTTAGCGTTACGTATACACCGACCGTATATGTGTATATATATTTTTGGATAAAGCCATGAAGAAATTTTAAATCGAAATTCGGGCGGGGACGCGCGAGAACGTGATTATCTCTCGGCGGATTCGCAGCTTCTCACGAGATTGGCGAGACACGTTCTTCCCGAGAGCGAGTGACAGTGAGAATGAGAGTGAGAATGAGAGAGAGAGAGAGAGAGAGAGAAAGAGAGAATGAAAGAGAAAAAGTAAAAGATATAGCCGAGAGAGCTTTCACGCACGTCGCTCCCCTAAATGTATTTATGAATATTTATTTACGCGAAGAATGGAAGAAAATTTAATATATTGACGATTAAAGAGAGGTGGACGTAAGTTATAAGTATAAGTTTTCTAAGAGCCATATAACGTGTAAAGCACTTTTGTCCGCGTTAATCGCGGCACAAGTTCTCGGAACGATGAATGTAGAAGACAGCGAAAGCAATGGTATAAAAGACTCATTTCACGGGGGAAAAAAATGCGAGAAATAAACGCGGGGGCGTTTCAAGTTTAATAATAAAATTTCGTTCAGGATGCATGGATGTGTCCACTTAAGATTGAAGTATGCTTAGAGATACGGTAGTGAGTATATGATATGTATAAGTAATAAAATAAATGATTTTAGCTATCGATGACTATTATCAATGTAAGAATACATTTAGACAAAGATATGTGGTAAGACAGATGTAATTGTCCTTTGTGAATATACATAAGAGAGAAATGGAAAATACAAAAAACTTTTATGAATACACCTGCTTTCATCTTTATTCACGTCTTTCATCTTTATTCACCCGGCTTTATCGGACTGCTCGAACGTGGTCGCGAAGGCGGCTAACGAAACGTGATATTCGCCCATATTATCGGAAACAGCTGGAGCTGGAGACACGTGCGGCGTCAGCGGCGGCGACGTGACGTTTCGCCGTGTCATGCATGTCATAGCATAAGGGCCTGAGCAGAATGGATGTCTCGGCAGTTTTATGCCTTTCTTTGTCTTATGTAACGCACAATACTGTACATAAGGTATAAAACACTGCTTTAAGGTTATAAGACAGCCATTCTGCTTAGGCCCTTTAACGCACGCGATGAAGGCAGGGAGAAATACTAATGTAAGTATCGAACAATTTCTGCGGATGCGTGTTTTTATTTGTTAACGCTAGCGCACGATCTATCGTATTGTTTAAAGTATAAGGACTTGCCAATCTTGCCATCGGTGGTGAAGGGAGTTATGTATTACAGTCGCTGCCAGTATTCAGTAGAAGATTAACCTCGAAGCTCGCTGACGGGTTGGTGAACGAAGAGAGAATCTCGAAACGATCGACACCGGAAAATCCACATGTAACGATTGTATTATGTATTACGGGTGAAGCTCTGATTCACACGCGAGATCGTTGACTTTGTGTTTTCTTTCGCCAGACGTCGAGCCTAACCTATAAGCGCAGGGAATGGAGCAGATTTCCGCCTCGTCCACGCCGGACGACGTAGTTTCCAGCCAAAGGTTGTTACCGTCTACTCAGGATCCCGGATGGAACGATCCACCGGAGTGGGCGCTGTCGTCGCAGCATAATTCGTCCGGGACGTCCACCAGGAGACTCCTGAATAAGCGAGTGGCATTCCCGCTATCCTCGGAAACATCCTCTCCGGAGAAAACTGACGTTCCGGCTCCTTCCTCGAACATGCCTCCCATTTTACAGTCTACTGGAGTGCCTACAATAACCACGGCTCCCCATAAACCTCTTCTGGCTCCTACCGATAAAGACTGTACGACGAAGGCACCAGAGAAGGACGAAAATTTTGATAAAGATCAAGCTCTGACAGAAATCTTGGCCAGTTTAGAATCTGTGATGACGGAGCAAAAGATGGAAGAGAGCAAGGTGAAGGAAATGCGAAAACGCTTAGATACTATGAAATCTAATTGGATTGAAAATAAACTGAACGATACAATACAGAGAAATATCTTGAATATATCGAAAGGTAAGAATCTTATGTACTAATATGTTGATGTATACGATCATAATAAATATGTTAACATGTTATGACCATGATAAATATATTAGCTGTATATATTTGTAACAGCTATACATATAATTTTCAGCACTCCTAAGAAAAGATGTCAAGGAAGCCGACAAGATCCACATCGCTCTTATGACGCAACACGCAAATGTTTGCCGTACATGGATGCCAGCCATCAGGCATATAATTTTCGAATTGAAAAAGGAATGTGAGAAACCCGATGTCCCGCAAACAGAGCAATCGCCTCTGTTATTCGTCGATTCGAAGAAAAACTGAATTTATTGCTAGAATCTCGTAAATATAAGAACTAAAAGTAATATAAAAAAGCTCATAAATATAAGAAAAAAATTATGTTTATTCATTATTCATTGCTTTTTGACATATTTATACGCGACCGCACGTGATATTTTTATAATGATCGAGTGCATCGAACAACACGATATTATGTAACGATCGATCGCAGTTCATTGCGGGAAAAATTGAATTACGTGAATAAAGATGAAAGCAGGTGTATTCATAAGTTTTTTGTATTTTCCATTTCTCTCTTATGTATATTCACAAAGGACAATTAGCCGGATCGCTTTCGATCATAATAATTTCTTTTAAAACTCCTATAGATCTATCCAAAACTCCCATTCAACTCTTCCACTAACTAGGGGCGATCCGACCACTAGTTAAGTAGTTAAGAAAATATTCGAAGATACAACGGATAAAATTCGACTAAGTCCACATAAAATTTTTTTAACTTCTATCAGTTGCAAAATAGACATTCTGCTGAACGCAATTTTAACGAACGAATTTTATCTGTGAAAGTATTTTACAATAAAAATAAAAATAATTACAGTATAAATAATTACTTTTATTTTTTATTATAATAACATTGATTTTATAATAAAAGAAATATAATAAAAGAAATTTATAATAAAAAAAATTTTATAATAAAAGAGATATAACTAAAAAAAACAACAGATTATGTCTGAATCAATCTTAAATCAGAGATGTATTCACGGAGGGAGTTCGTTATACGAGAGTAATATTGATTATAAATCACGCAGCATCGATTTACAACGCGTATTGAAAAAATGCAACGATAAGATTATCGTAAACAATATCAGTAAGTAAAACGTTTAATTTAATACATCAAGTAGATGTTCAATGCGTATTAAAAAGTTGAAAAAAATTACGTGCAGCGTGCGTATACTCTTAAAAAAAAAACTGGAAATTAGAACTATCGAATTTTTAAGTAGAGGTGGCAACTTCACACGCCCGCGTTCATCAGTTTTGATATTTTTACTTTGATCCATACATGTATAGTTCAAAAATTCGCATATAATAGATACAGAAATGGCTATCAATATCAAGTATAGCTTGAGATACCGGAATTTTGACATAAATTATTGACAATAAGAAATTTATTTTTTGCTCGTTTGAAGCAAGACTATAATGAGAAGTAAGACCATTATACGAGCATTAATAGATGTTACAGAAAATTCATATCTAATTCTTATATGCATTATTGTAATACATATATATTCCAACTATTTACTGTGTTCCGATCACAGCCGGACTTAATACACAGTTATCATTAGAACGTTAAAAAACCCTTCCATCCCCCCCCCACAATTAAATCGACACGATTTAATTATTTAAAAACTGTAAAGAATTTATTACGAAAAATATCACCTCAGCCAGGGTTCGAACCTGGAACCTCCCTCATTCCGTGTAAGGCGTCGTACCAATTCGACCATCGAGGAATGTACGTGGTAAATTCTTTACAGTTTATTAATAATTAAATCATGACGATTTAATTGTGGGGGGATGGAAGGGTTTTTTAACGTTCTAATGATAACTGTGTATTAAGTCCGGCTGTGATCGGAACACAGTGAATAGTTGGAATATATATGTGTTACAATAATACATATAAGAATTAGATATGAATTTTCTGTAACATTTATTAATGCTCGTATAATGGTCTTACTTCTCATTATAGCATAAATTATTGATTCATAGCGTTTCCATATATTTAAAAAAACTTACGTTTATTGTACGACGCGGACGTATCGAAAGCTTAAATTAAAACTTTCTAGTTTCTTTTAAATAAAAATAGTACCAAAATAAATTCAAATCAACAAGATAGCTGAGACAACAGAGGAAAACTATGCTGCTATTCTCTTTTAAAGTATATATTGCCACCTGTAGAACGCATTTCACGATCGCTTTATCAACATACACTCTTCAAAAGATTTTGAAACTTTTTCAAGACTCTATCATGTTCTAGGAACTTAGAAAGTGTGTAAAGAATGCCGGTATTCTCCGCACAATCGCTAAAAAATCTCCAATATAATTGAGATTATATACGCAAAAGTTTTAGGAAATATATAATAAATGAACAAATTATCCCCTCTCTAAAAGATTAAAAGAAATTATATCGACGTATTTTCATATTTTTAATTAAATATTACTTATCTAAAGTTACGTATCTAATCATATATAAATTATTCTAAATTAACGGTAAAACGTGTAGAATTTGGATGAAAATTATACTTTGTCGATGTCAGCAGTTTCTTGTGTGTAATACGTTAGCGATCGTGCAAAAGCATCATAACGCATTTTCCTCCTCTGTTGCTCCATTTTCTACATTTAGAATTCTAGGTGGTTGATTTATGAGTCCTTCTACAACGGTGGAGTACATCCGAGAGAGTTTCCCGGGTCCGAAATTATGCAATAATTATGCGTTGATTAAAGAAGATGCGCGCTGTTAAAGGTTTCTCGACCATCGTAGTCGCGTTGCAACACGAATGCTAACGAAGATGTTAATCAGAAATCAGAAATAGTAATTTCAGAGAAAGGCACGCGTGCGTATATCTTTACGCATTTTGCTTCGTTTAATTTAAAAAAAATATTGAAAGCGGGTACTTAAAATGTGAAAGCGGAACAAATGAATTACATTCAAAATTTATGATGCGTGTATATATTATATATATATATGTATATATAAACATTTATCAATTTTCCATTTATTTTACCGGACTCATCAAAGTAACACGGCATAATTTCAAGTGATAATTTCAATAGATTCATAAAATATTTTAAATTACGCGAGGTAAATTGTAGGACAGAGCGGTAAAAGTATCCATTACAAGATAAGATAAGGCGAATGATAAACGGTAAACTCGCTTTTCTTGAGGAGATACTTCTACCGGCGCGATACATTTTGCGAATCGTTAGTTTGCAACAAGAGTCTCGAAGAGATCAGATAACTTTCTCGTGGCGCTTCATCACCAAGACAGAAGTCTTGAAGAAAACGTGAAGGATCGCGTATAGGGTCGACGGAAAGTTGATAACACAAATCTACAAAACAGGTCTATTAAATGAGAACCGAAATAAGCTAACCGAACATATGACATCGTCTGCCTTCAGTATCAAGACAACGCGTTATCAACGTGAAAAGCAGCTGACCGTAAAAGACAACCAGGTAAAAATGCGAAATCGACACTTTGATCGGATTATTGAATCGAAAAAATCCACTTGTGCCACGAGATACGATCTGCCCGAATCGGCACACGCGAGAAGCTCCTTTCGACTCCGTCGAGAAACTCAGAGGAACGTGAGTTACTCTTTTATATCCCTAAAATGACACGTTAAACCTAACGCATTCACCCCACTTGCTCCAAAATTCCCTTTCTCACTTTCAGAGTCCGCCTGTTAACGAGACGGAGGAACCCGTCCTTGCCGCCGTCGTGATTGCGATCTCCCGATCCTCGATCCCATAAACGCACCGCGAGAGACCTTCGCTGGAATACTAATGACACGGATAGTCATTTATGGCACGACCACGCATTCCGCGTAGAGCAGGAAGGAGCCCGTCTTAAAGGATCAGAGCATTTTCAGGGCGGAAAGTCTCTCTCGGAACAGTCAGATTTTTTTGGAGTGTTAGATTTTTTAGATTTCTCACAAAAGATTAGGACGGACCTCGGTCATCTTTTCTCGTTTGTGTCTCCTATACATAAACCACGTCGAATTGAATATTCAAAATAACAGGCAACTCGGACCCGTGTCGACTGAAAATCTACGTGACAAAACTTGTACGTTAATTACGAATATCCGAATATTATAATTGTATTATATCCGGTTATTAAATTGTAATTTGCATTCGGTACTCGGGAAAATACGTACACTAAGAACGTATTATAAAATTGTCAATTAGGTATTGTCTGTGACAATTTCATCCACAGAGATTACATAGCGAACTGCAAACAGAAAAACAAACCCTATGGAAGCTACGCAATATTTCTATGGCTTTTCGAGGAATTTAATATTTTTTTCTTTGTACCTAAGAAGGATTTGTGTGAAACTTGTGTGGCATACGAAAACGCCGCTAATGATTTAAATTCGCGTTAAAGTGAAAAAAATCACTCACCAGCCGATGCGCAACAGCGGAGTTATAGTTGTAACTGCGTTGATCTGTAACAGAAATATTTTTACATTAAAGCATTGCAGTGCCCAAAATAATCGATACTTGTACGAGAAATGAATTAATGATTCGCGTACATATAGGGTGTTTTATTTTAATCTCCCTTGACCTTGTAACTCAAAAAGTACTTCATGAAAAAATACTCAAATATAGGGTTTTGAAAAGCTCTTTAGGTAAGCTACAAGAATATGCAATGAAAAATAGGGAGTTCCGTTTAAAAAAACAAAGTTAAACTCCATATGACCTCGGCACGTTCACTCAAGGTCAAACCACGGACACCATCTTATGTCCCCCTTCGAACCAAACAACTTTTGTCTGAAACGTTTTTCCGTATCTTTCATATTTTTCGAGATATTTGCCTGGGGCGATTAAAATGAAACACCCGGTATAATGTAAGGACGAATCACGTCGCGCTTGAGAAAATGGCAGAATACGCCACAAGACAGCAAAATAATAAACGAATAACAATCGAGTACTCACCCCACGGTTGCTCCGCCGTCACCTGATGCCTCCCAGACCTCCTACTCCTCTCCGTGGTCCTTCACCGGTGTCGCATCTCTGTCGGCGCACTCACTCACACGACGCGGCGACGTTCACGAGCGAAAATTCAGCTGACAACTACAGTACTTGCTGCACCGATACCAGCATCTCCACTGCAAAAAAAAAATAATTATAAAACACTGAACTCTCTTATAGAACTGTCGAAAATAATTGTTAGAACCGCGGAAAACGGGAAGAATCGCCGCGTGTCATTAGCGCGACACTTGTCGCGAAACGTCGCGCTGGGCGAGAATAAAAATTGTTCAAAAATTGTTAACTGATGGGATATCGATTTGAAATTGCATACATGTGCGGAGAATTCGATTAAAACTATCGGGAACTCTCGTCAAATATAATAATGTTCAACACGTTTTGATATTTCAGAGGAGAAAGCCGTGCTAGATTCGCGAAGTTAACACATTTTTTCTATTTCGATTTTTTAATACAAGGAATGTGAAACTGGTTTATTTTTTATAATGTATTTATATGTAGAACTATGAAAAGTG